ACCAATTCGTTTGTTTTTTTTTTACAGGAAAGAGCAAAAGAGCACAATTGTGAACTGCAGAAATTAGTTGTATATATGATACCCCCTTCGCGGCAATGATTTCTTTCAGCCCCATGGATATTCAAAATTTCAACTGTTCCCTTTCAAAAATTTCGACAAACCACTTGATAAATAACTGTACATACGCACTGACGCGTTGAAGTTGTCAGTGTTTACTCCTTGGAGCATTGAAGCGCTGTAAGCCTCAAACGTGAAACACTGATAAGTGTGAACACGAAGTAGGGCAGATCGTGGCGAGAGGATGGCGAAACAAAGGTTGACGGCCTTGGATATACGCGCGATAATCACCCTGTGCAAAAATATCCTTGTCGGATGCGTAGTAACGAACATTTATAACATCTCCAACAAAATTTACGTTTTAAAATGCTCGAAGAAGGAGCAGAAATATTTTTTCCTGGTGGAAGCTGAAAAGAGAATCCATATAACAGAATGGAAGAGGGATAAAGATGTGATGCCATCAGCATTTACTATGAAGTTAAGGAAGCATCTGAGGTCTAGGAAGATTACCAACATAACCCAACTGGGAGGAGACAGAGTGGTTGACATTCAATTTGGCTTCGACGATAAAGCATGCCATCTGATTGTGGAGTTATACATTGCTGGAAATATTATCCTGACAGACAGTAATCATAAAATATTGTCCATTTTGAAGAGCAATGATGCTATCGGAAAGAAATATAACATCAATGATGTGTACAATGTAGAGGAACACACATCCATCCTGCTGCACAAAAATTTGGAAGTAGTCAACGTGGAGAATATAAAGAAGAGTATCAACGAAATAATGCTTCTTTATAACAATGTCACCCTTGAGGATGTTTCTTCCATAACTAAGGATGTAGTAGTTAATCAAGTGGGTACTGGCGCCATGTCGCATGAGTTTCAAAATAACGGGGTGGAAGATACGAACTTGGGGTTGCCACAGAATAAAGCGATTTTTGGTGAACGCGCCAAGGGTGAAGACGAAGAGACCACAATGAGCAAAAAGGGGATTGACAATAATAATGGTGGTAGGACAGAAAACGGAACGGTAAAGAATGGCATTGAGGAAGGGGCACACCGAGGTAGTGAGGGTAAAGGAAAAAATAAAGGGAACAGTAACGCCAAATTGAAAAGCGCCAAACATGTGCAGGATAAAACATCGGCAAGTTTGAAGAACAGTTCGAATAAAAAAATCAGCACCGTCATTTGCAGCGATAATGAGAAAGGTAAAAAGATGAAGAAGCTTAGAACGTTAACCGATTTAGCAAGCAAGCTTATTGTGTTTGCCCATAGCGATCTAATTGTGCATTCGTTAATCGCATGTGATGTGAACCCCACAGATTCGTTGGAGAGATACACCTTGAGTGACTTGGGTCAGATTTTGCAAAAGGCGATAAATGAAGCGCTATGCGTGCTGAACAGCTTTAGCAGCGAGGAGAAGTGCGTAAAGGGTTACGGCTTTGCCCCGAAGGGTGGTGCAAAATGCGAAAAAGGAACAAAAGCGGTAGAAAATAAAACCGATGGTGGCGGTGGCAAAAGGAAAATTGAAGCCAAGCCCATTGATGGCAAAGTAGCAATCAAGGAGGAAGACAAAACTGGTGAAAATATCGCATTTACTGAGTTTTCCCCAACCATTTTGAACAATCACAAAAATAAAGTGGAGGAGAACAAACTGGAGATCATTCATTTTGATGATTTTAACAAATGCGTAGACACCTATTTTAGTAGAATGGAATTGTCCAAGTACGACAGGCAGCAGGAAGTCATTAAGATTAAAAAATCTCTTACTAAAATGGATAAAATTAAGTTAGACCATGAAAGGAGAATCGAACAGTTAGAGAAGGAAGTTAGTTCGCTTAGGAAAAAAATTTCGCTAATTCAAATGAATGACGAATTGGTTGAGCAAGCCATACAGTTAATGCGTGCCGCGGTGGCGACGAATGCCAATTGGGAAAAAATCTGGGAGCATATTAAACTTTTTAAGAAGCAGAATCATCCCATAGCACTGCGGATTAGCTCCGTGAATTTTAACAACTGCGAAATGGAGTTGCTGTTAGATGACGCCGAGGCAAACAAACAGGGAAATGACCTCTCCAGTGAAGAAAACGAACAGGGAAGCGACGACCCGTCCAGTGAGGCAAACGAACAACAGTCAAAGGGGAAAACGTCCAATAGGGAGGCTGCAACAAACAAAAAGTTCGCAGTTACCATAAATTTAAACAATTCTGTGTATGGAAATGTAGAGGATTATCAGAAGCTGCGAAAGAAGGCAGAAGAAAAAATAAGGAAAACAAAAATATCCACGAACTTTGCTGTAAAAAAAGTGGAGAAAAAAAAAAAAGAAAAAGAAAATAAACAAAAGGGGAAACATAATAAGACAGTTGGTCAAATTCAAAAGTTAAGAAAAGTCCATTGGTTTGAGAAATTCCACTGGTTTATCTCGTCGGAAAATTATTTAGTCATTGCTGGGAGGGATGCACTACAAAATGAAATCCTCTTTAGGAAGTATTTTCAAAAGAATGATGTTTATGTGCATGCAGATATTCATGGTGCTTCGACATGTATTATCAAAAATCCGCATAAGGACATCTCCATTCCGGAGAAAACCTTGTCTGAGGCTGGCCAGCTAGCCATTTGTAGAAGTTCTGCTTGGAATAATAAAATTATTACTTCGGCTTGGTGGGTGCACTACCATCAAGTTAGCAAATCGGCTCCGACAGGGGAATACTTAAAAACGGGGTCCTTTGTAATCAGGGGGAAGAAGAATTACTTGCCGCACGTCAAGCTGGAAATGGGACTGTGTATAATTTTTCAGGTGGACAATGCTGTACTGGACAATAACGAGGAGAACAATTTGGACGACACGCAGAAGAGCTTCCACAATGATGGTGATAAGAGGAGAAGCGATGGTGATAACGCAGTTTGGGGGGATTCCGTTATGAGGGATTCCATTGTGAGGGATACCCTTATGGATACCTGCACCGGAGAGGGTTTCATCCAAGCTTATAATCCTTACACAGGTCCAGCGGAAGAAATTTTCATCCCTGCGACAATTCTCACTAACGCTACACAACCATACAACAGTGGTAGTACGTCTGCCGAATGTATCTCCCTTTCGGCATGGAATACCTGCTTCGAATTGCAGAATGCCCCAGAAGGTATAAAGAATGCGAAGTGTCTGAACAGCTGCGTTCCGCCAAGTGTGCCATGTAGGGGGTACTCAAAAAGGTGTGAAAAGAAGAAGAGACATTTATACAACCGTTTTGTTGGCTTCTTCCTTCCAAATAGAAATAGAACAAATCTGTTGAATCAGAATTTTGAGAAAAAGTTCGATCGAGTCTTTCCCATTTTGGAAAAATTAGGAATCGTGTATAGTTACGATTATTCTATTGTGAAAGGCTTGTTAACAGGGGTAGATTCCAATTTATGGTCGGATGAACGTAAATACAGAGAAGTCTTTAAGTCCCTCATCCGTAGAAGAAATGGGCATTTATCAAAATGCGGCATGTGCACCGCTCTGAAGAGCACTTACAAAATGTTGCTATTCAGGATCTGCAACGTCTGCATGTATATCTTTCTGGATACTTATTACCACGTTTCGAAAGAGCACACCTCGTTGGACGATCCTACTTTGGGAGAAGCTTTCCCCATTTTGCGCCCATTTTTCAGAAGGTTAAAAGATGCTGTAACTTTTTTTCTTTCGCATAAAGGGTTTGGACACAAGGGCAGTTACACATGTCTCAGTTTATATTTAGAAGGCATCCCAGATATGATGTGCACTGGTAGGCATGATGGCTCGTCTGAGCGATTGCGAGGTTGTACGAGGATAACAATTAATAGGATGGAATTGAAGAAGATCTTTTCTTCTAGCTTTATGAATGGAAGGTCGCCAGAACAGCTTGGGAGTAGCTATGTAAAGGATTATTTGTGCGAAAGGGGAAGAAGAATCCCATTTATTTTTGTTGACTGCCCGGTGTACGGGGCGCCCCCAGTGACCTTCAAAGATGAGGACTCAGACGATTCCGAGTCGAATAAGAAGGTAAAAGCGGAACTGGTCGACCACCCATCGGTAAATAACCATGATGGGAAGAGAGAGTATGACGAAGAGGAGGAGAAGAAGAAGGACAAGGCAAAAAAGGTTTCCTTTGTAAGCGATGATGGTGAAGAATGTCCCAAATTGGTAAGGCCCGCGAGATCGCGCAAGGTTACAGGGTTTGTAAAGATGGACGTAAGTAAGCTGCTCCAGGAGATAGAGGAGAAGGAAGAGCAGCAGGACCAGCAACAGGAGCAGCAGGAGAAGGAAGATGAAGAAGAGGAAGAAGCAGAAGAAGGGGGGATGGACGCAACCGAGGAGACAGGCACCTCCACCAAAGTTACGGTTTGCGAAGAGGGGGAAAGAAGGGGTGAGAAAAAAAGCGTCACCTTTACGTCAGAGGGTGAGTCGGTTGGTGATGGAAAACAACCCTCGTTGAATGTGCCGAGGCCAGTGAGGTCCCGCAAACCCACGGGCTTCGTCAAGATGGATGTTAGCAAGTTGTTGCAGCAGATAGGGAATGAGGAGAATTCTGAGGATGGGGAAGAGACGATTGAAGCGGGCGGGGTGAGGCAGGTAACCCCTGTGAGTAATTCAAATATCGACATTAAGAAAGACGAAGCGAAGGTAAAAAAGCAGGAACAGAAAAATATGTCCTTCTGCGAGAGCCCGCGTACACCTAGCATAAGAAAAAAAAGCGTTTCTTTCAGTTCTGAGGATGAACATATATACGTCGAAAGGCAAGAGTCGCTCAACGTGCCGAGGCCGGTTAGGTCGCGAAAGCCGACAGGTTATGTCAAGATGGATGTGAGCAAGTTGCTGGAGGAGATAGAGAATGAAGAAGAGTCCGACGAAGCGGGTGCAGCTGGTGCAGTGGGGGTTTCTTCCGATACGAACAGAACTAGGCGTGCGAACCATCTGAATGTCCTCAATGCAGAGGACGGACATAGGGAAGAGACACCAAAAGTGACGTTCGCCGAGGGTCCACTTACCACTGATTCGAAGAAAAAAAGCGTGTCCTTCAATTACGAAGATGCGTATATGCAAGGCGAGAAGAAGGAATCGCTGAATGCGCCCAGGCCAGTGAGGTCGCGCAAGCCCACAGGCTTTGTCAAAATGGATGTCAGCAAGTTGCTTCAGGAGATAGATCGTGAAGAGGAGTCTGACGAAGGGCAAGAAGACACCAAAAAAATGGAACCACAAGTGGTGAAGGCCCCTGACATGACCCCAAGTGATGATCAAAAAGAGAAAAAAGTTACCTTTACTCCTGAGGGTGGAGAATCCGTTTCTGTGAAGGAATCAGAGTCGCCTAGCTTTTCCAGATCGGCCAGACCTCGCAAAGCAACTGGTTTTGTCAAAATGGATTTAAGCAAACTGCTGGAGGATTTGGAAGGAGAAGAGGGGGACGGAGAAGAGAATGACGGAGACAGAAATAGCGACACAGGGGTGGAACCAGAAGGGAAGAAAAATTTTGATGGTGGCAATGACAACGATGATGACGACGATGATGAAGACGATGATGAAGACGATGATGAAGACGGCGATAACGACGATGAAGACGACGATAACGACGATGAGGACGACGATGAGGACGACGATGAAGACGAAGATAACGACGATGAGGACGACGATGATGAAGACGAAGATAACGACGATGAGGACGACGACGATGACGATGAAGGAGGTAGTTCTGAAGGAAGCGAGGAATCGAACGAGAGCAATCAATCGGTCAGCGATGACCACAGGGATAGGAATGGAGGTGACAGCGACAGTAATGATAGCCATGATGGAAACGTACAATCCGGTGGAAATAAACATGGAGAAAAAGGAAATAATGAAAAGCGAAGTCATGAAGACGAAGCAACGAATGAGAGGAATAGGGATGACCAGCATGGGGAGGAAAAATGTAGAAATAATTCAAATAGGCAGAGTGAAAATAAGGCAAGAAAAAATGCCATGAAGGAACAAAATGTTTCTGTTAACCACGGAACTGTGAAAGACCAAAAAAAGGATAAGGTAATAAAGTGGCAAAATGGCAGCAAAAGGGAACGTGCCAATCGCTTGACGAAGCAAAAGAAAAAATTGAGAAATCATCATATCAGGCGAGTTTCGCAAGTGAAACGTTTTTATATGATAGCAATGTTATGCAAAGAAAAGAACGAAGCAAATATATATGCTATCTTTTTTTT